CTTATTTGGTCTGCTTTTGGTGCGCACTAGAGTATGATTGCTGCATTCTCACCTGCCCAAACGAACTGCACCAAAAGGAAAAACAAACTCTAGTGCGATTTAATCGAACTAAATAAGGCAGGTGTGAAAGCACCTTAAACTATTACTTGAGCCCAGTGAAGGTCAGGAACACAATATTTTCAAATACAGGATATTTTTTTAATTTAACTTTATCTATAAATAGTTTATAAATAAGTCAAAAACCATGCTTAACATTGTCAAACATCTTAAATTGGTTTTAAAAAACTATACATCATAAATATATGGAATAGTGTATATACAAAGACTGATTAATAACAACAAGATTCTGAGTTGGTTTTGGCCAGAACGTGCACAACATAAAATTTTTTTATTTTTTGCAAAACGCTATATATCCACTTTAGGCTATATTCTACTACTGTAATACTATTAAGAAAAGCTAGTGAATCAATGATTTGTTTAATAAGATTAAGTTAGTTAGATAAATGTCTTGTAGCTTGTTACAGAAAGAGTGGAGGCTCCTTCCACACTGCTGCTGAAAACCAAACCTGTATAATCAGAGTGGGCGGAGCTGCGGTGTCAAAGTTCTTGCCACAAGTCTGTGATGCAAGATCGCCTCGCCCCATTATATTTAATGAATTATTTCACTGTAATAATAATAATAATCATCATCATCATCATCAGGGCCTGACTAGCCACTCTGGCTATAGTTGCGTTTCCAGTCACAATTTCACGCAAGAGAAAGGGAGTGCACACACTTTTTAAACAGTCGCGCGCATCACAACAGCTTTTGGCGCAAGTGATCATCCTCTCATTCGGTATTTAAAGAAATTATTTAAAGAATAAACTCACAAAGAACACTTAAAGTAACCTCGCAGACAGGTATCTCGTAATGGGGAGGTCTGTAACCCCTGGACTTCTTGACGTCAGCGCAGACTAACAGACGCAAGATTATTTTATCTTGGTCCACTTTTATAGCCTTTTTATAAATTGTGAGGTTAAAGGCTACATCTTCATCTAATAGTTTGTCGATATGACCAACAATACTCATTACTGAGCGAACTCGGAGCACTTCATCGGCGATGACTCTCTTCCCAGGGGATGCTGAATATAACTGATATGCTGCAACGGCCCCTTTAAATAGGAGATCAATGTAGCGAGTTTTGACGCTCTCGACGCCAGAGCTGAAGGCAGACAACGTTGTTGCCAGGGCCACCTTGGACGCTCTCACCGCTTTCGGTGTGAACGCAGTTATAGTGCACTGGACAAGTCTGAATAAGTTCTGCCCACACTTGCGCAAGGCAGGCGGTTCTGTACAATTATGTAATTTATCGGCCGAAAGATATCGACCTAATTTAGACATCAGATCTAAAATGTCTTATGGATCACTCACTGTGTCTGTTTGTCTGTCTGTGCAGGTTGAGAAACATTTTAGAGATGTGGAAAGCCAGAAGACGATGCAGCGTTCACAAGCACAGCAAACACAGAAGGACTCGTCTTTATCCTCCTGAGTGGCGGGTTTGGCTCATTCGGGGAGGGCACCACGGGCATCAAGGGCCTCACAGCTGGTCCAAACCAGCACTCTTCTCCCCCTCTGCGCCGTCGTCCGAGGGTGGATGCACCAAGGGCCAAGGGTCTGGAAGATCAACAAAAGAAACAAACAAAAAAACATTAAAACAAAAAAAAAGCAAAAATGTTTTAAAGAAAAAAACCTGAGAGTGAAAGAGTTCATTCTAAATTAGACTTTATAAAGATAATTTAAAACACCAATCATCAAACCAACCATAGTTTCTTTGACTAACATACAGTGTCTTATCCCCTCTCTGCCCCCTCTTCCTCCTCCTCCTGTTTCATCTGAAATAGCGTTTCATATTTTCTTCTCTCTGACATCCCTCCTTCGCCTTCTATTCCATTTTGTCAAAAAAACGAAAAAATCCAACCAGTCAGAAACGCTTGTTAGCTTTATTTACTTTGATGCTTTTTCTTTTCTCTTTTCTTTTCTTTCGGCTGTTTATGTTTTACCAGTGTCTGTCTGTTCTGTATTTTAAACAAAATGATGCCACACGTTACAAAGGACATTTTCTAAAATAAAAGTAACAAAAATTCTGACTGTAATGCTGTACTTTTAGTTGCTTTTTGAGAAACAGGTCACATCGTAAACAAATGATTTAAAACTGTTTGGGTTGAAGAGCCCCACCCCCCGTCTCAGCAGGGTGTTTTCTCACCTCCAGTTTGAAAAAAGTCAGGAAAGTGGTTAAGTCCAGCTCTGTTTAGTCGGGATTATCGTAGGAGGGAAAGAAGGAAGGGTGTGCATAAAAATGGGAGTTTCAGTTCGAGCATGTGCTGATTTTCATAGAGGCAAAACAAACACGGACGCAGAGGAGAAAGACAGTGACTGCGTTTACATGGACATCAGTAATCCAATTCTTAATTTGTGGACTTGAACTGCAGTTTGGCACTTTCACTTTCTTTCAGGTACATTTCATGCATGCCCCCCATGACAAACGAGATATTAGATGCGAGGAACTGCTGGAGGAGTGTTGTTTTAATGGAATGTTTAATACCACACGGCGAATAAGAGAAAACAAAATGCCTTCGCATTTTTGTAACTTAGATGCACTCAGTAGGTAGCTTCAGAAAGCCAAGTGTTGTTCCTGCCACAAAATGCGGCAAAAATCCTACATGACGATAATAGTTTGATTTAAGATGTTTACATATTGGCACTTGAAGAGCCGCATTTACAGCGGATCGTTCAGTCCATAATATAGTACTGTAAACTTAGGAACTTAGAAATCATTTTGACTATGGAATGTCTTTAAACACTGAAAGAGTACTGCTGACTATACGAACCAACTTTGCCATCCGAATTAACAAAGACCACTGATCGCTTGCTTGCCAAATCTGTAGAGACAGGACTATCAACACCGACTGGAACCGCGTCTTTAAAAAAGGAGACGAGCAGCAAATCGGGATGTCAACATTTTCCTGTTGCGAAAAGCTAAGAAAAAATTTTACGTACAAACGTATTTCTGTCGCTTGCACTGTAATCCACACTGAGTCCTGCTGTGCTCTCATAGCGGGAAATGAAAACAAAAACTTAGTTGCAGCACATTTAGGCTGCTTTCACCCCTGTGAATCGATTCAGTTGTTCCGAAACAGAGATAACAATTGTTACATTGTTGCTCTTTGCTCTTGGAGCGGTTCGCTTTCACACTGCAAAGTTTCTAATCGGACCAAAAGAGCTAAAACAAGTCACGTGCGAGTAAACTCTCCTCACATTGGTCAGAGTGTCAGGGTTTATTTTGTAGCGTCCCGCTCAGCTGTCAGGAGAGGTGGTGGATTGATGGTGATTGACAGGGAGCGCGCGCGATGTGTCTGAGGAGAGATGCAGTGGGGAGGGGTGAGAAGGGTGCGCGATGATGCCTATTTAAGGACTGGGAAGGAGACGCGAGATTACCGGGAGATCATCACTCGTTTGCGGGCATCCGGAGACTCGCGAAACTTCCCGCCCTACTCATAATTCTCTCTTCATATAGCCGTATGCCTAATACATATCCATAAAACACTGTGATATAACCGCGCTCGGATCGGATCGCTTTCTCACTGCAATCGATCCGCTCCAGTGTTCGTTTCAATCGGGCCGAGACCACCTCACTCAAGCGATCTCGGAGCGATTACTTTGGCGCGGAACAGAGGCCGCGATTGCCCTGTTCACATATGCCAAACGAACCGCACTAACTGGGCAAACGAGATGCGTTCCGAAACAAAAGTGTAGGTGTGAAAGCACCCTTAGAAACAAAACACTGACCCGTGTCTCCAAACAATTCTTCTTCCACCTTGTTTTGGCAACACAACTTGGCATCTCTCTGCCGTCTGTACACTGTTACAGGTAAAACAGTCTTCGAAGCTATCATGCATATTAATGAAGCTGCACCTCATTCACAATAGAGTGCAGTGACTGGTTTGAGCCAAGTCTTATGAATTAATGCTGCAAGCTCAAACACGTCACGTTGTACTCGCTGGTACAGACAGCCGGTCTCCACGCTGGAATACACACAAGAATCTAATCGCCATGATCCAGCTTTAAAAATTCGTTTCAAACAGGAAGAATGAATTTGCTCGAAATAATGCAAAAACAACAGATTTTTACTACTTTTTTTTTGTGAAATATGTGTCCTAAAAGTGTTTTTAGCAGCGTGGGACACATATATGACTGTCAACATCTCAAAAAATGTGTTTTGATGTTTCGTGACCCTTTAAATGCTCATAATAAGGACCATTAACATCCCCCCATGAGATTTTCATTTGGTGCACAGGGTCAACACATAAGCAGGGGAGGTGGACTGATTCATGGAGCATCATTTAAAGCAGATCTGAGAGCTGTGGCGGATTTTCCATATTGTAGTGATATTACTGTAAACTTAATAACTAAATCATTTTGACTAAGGTCCGTCTTTAAAAACTGAAAGAGTACCGCCGACGATACAAACTAACTTTGCCTCTGAATAAACATACACAAAAAACACTGATCACACACTTGCCAAATCTGTAGAGACCGGACAAACAACACCAACTGGAACCGCGTCTTTTTTATTTTTTATTTATTTATTTATTATTATTTTTTTTTTTAAGAAAACAAGCAACAAATCAGGATTTCACCCTTTCCAGATGCGAAAATCTCAAAATATGTCTTCTGGTGTTGTGTGACCCTTTATATGCTGAAATACTTTGTTTTTTTTTACTTGTTTAAATCCTAAATGGTTGGCTAAAAGTGCATTAGTTGAATTTCTGATCAGATTTTTTTTATTAGTTTGCACAGCATTGGCAAGCCCAGTTCTGGCATGGAAGCCCAATTCTTGCATGGGATAAAATATAAAAAAAAAGTTACTAAATTCTAGTATATATATATATATCTAATGTGTATATATATATATATATATATATATATATATATATATATATGCATATATTATTAAGAACAGTTCACTTAATTATACACTTTTCCATCATGTAATAGGTTTTGTTTCAGATGTATATTTACAAATTACTAAAAGAAATTAGATTCTAGGTCAAATTGTAATTAAAATTCGATGCACCGGTCAAATACTTCAGTAATTACATGTATAGAGTTACAAAAGGTTATCAATGCTGCGAACGATTGCGACGGTGTCAAAAGGCCCTGATTGCTCTTGAATAATGAAGGCTAAAGCTTGGGTTATTACTGTAACTAATACACATTGTTCCGTTCACACCGTCTCCAACTCTAAACACACCACACCAAAGCACACGTCAGAGATTTAACATGGTGTAAGGTTTTCCCTGAGCTTTCTATTGAGGTCTGAACTAAACTGACCTGAACATGCTGAACTGTAAGACTACACGTCCTGCTTCTGCATCCTTCAATTAAATATTCAGTGTGTGCCGAGTGCTTTTGTTTCCGCAGTGATGCAGGATAAATCAAGTTCAAGTCTTAGACGGTCCAGGTGCAGTCTGTGTGCGAGATGTAGATCAGAATTAAGCAAATACCTGCATTTAATTCAGGTGTAGTAACGTTTTGGAATCTGGTGTAGTTTATATACATATGTAGATGGGATTATCCTGGTTATAATGTACTACTATTTATGATCAAGCCATGTTTCTAATGGATCGGTGACTTCGTTTTCTTCTCTTGATTTATGGAGTTTGAGGTAAGTTTGTACCTACACTGGGGTTTGTGCATGGGGACTTTTAATTTTCAGCCATGCCCTGCTGAAAAATCCAGCTTAAACCAGCCTAGGCTGGTTGGCTGGTTTTAGCTGGTCAACCAGGCTGGTTTTAGAGGGGTTTTGGCCACTTCCAGGCTGGTTTCCAGCCATTTCCAGCCTGGTCTTAGCTGGTCAGGCTGGAAAATGACCAGTTAAATCCAGCTAAAACCAGCTTGACTAGCCTGGTTTAAGCTGGACATAGCTGGTTTTGGCTGGGCTCCCAGCCTGGCTAGGCTCATCAAGCTAGTTTTAGCTGGTCATCTCCCAGCCGGACCAGCGAAGACCAGCCTGGAAATGGCCAAAACCCCTCTAAAATCAGCCAAAGAGCCTAGGCTGGTTTAAGCAGTTTTTTTTCAGTAGGGTAAGCATTCATTTAAG